ATTGCGGACATCCTGCTTCTCCCACTGGGAGTGCGGGGAGAGGAGACCCTGTGTTCTTGATTGCAGCAGATGGGTCTCTGCTGAGGTGGGGGTGGGGTGGGGTGTCAGGTGGTCTTGATCGAAATACCACAGATTCTCACTCACTTTCTTATCAAATGTTCATAGATTTTCTTGAATAGATGTTTTTTCATTTGCTCTTCTCTCTTAGGACTATTTCCAAGGTTTTAAATGATTGTTGCTTGCTTGCTTGTTTTAAAATGATCTTCATCAGGAGCGTCTGGGTGGTTCAGTTGGTAGAGTATAGTAGGACTCTTGATTTTGGCTCAGGTCATGATCTCAGTCGGCATCATGAGATGGAGCCCCAAGATGGGGCTCTCTCTTGGGATTCTCTCTCCCTCATCCTCTACCCCCTCCGACCCCACGCATATGCAAGCTCTGGCTCTAAAAAGTAAAAAAACAGGGGTGCCTGAGTGGCTCAGAGGGTTAAAGCCTCTGCCTTCGGCTCAGGTCATGATCCCAGGGTCCTGGGATGGAGGCCCGCATCGGGCTCTCTGCTCAGCGGGGAGCCTGCTTCCCCACCTCTCTCTGCCTACCTCTCTGCCTTCTTGTGATCTCTGTCTGCCAAATAAATAAATAAATAAATAAAATCTTAAAAAAATAAAATAAAAAATAAAAAATAATTTTCATCTGTTTCACTAGGGAGTAGGTAACCTGAGCTCCTCATGTTGTCATGCCAGTAGTTAATCTCTTGGCGGTATTCTTGTAACTTTCCCATGAGCTTAAATTGAATTGAAAAGTTAAGAAATTTTAAAAAAGGCAAGAAAATGGTTATTAGGAATAAATAGATTAAAATGTAAAGTGCTTTTACATTTGCTATTTATTCTTTTTTTTAATTCTTTTTTTTTTTAAGATTTTATTTATTTGATAGATTACACGTAGACAGAGAGGCAGGCAGAGAAAGGAGGAAGCAGGCTCCCCGCTGAGCAGAGAGCCTGATGCCAGGGCCCGGGACCCTGGGATCATGACCTGAGCTGAAGGCAGAGGCCTTAACCCACTGAGCCACCCAGGCGCCCCTTTTTGCTATTTATTCTTATTCCCATGCATTGATAACAAACACTAGCAGTGCTTGCCTGACAACCACAACTACTTCAAACAAACGTCCTGAGTTCAGAGCATATCCAGTTACTGAGAAAGGACAATTTCACTTTACCCTTCAGGGTTCTTTTGTCTGGTCTAGGAATTAAATTGACACATGACAGATTAACAGGAGAACATAAAATTTATTTGCCTTCCTATCAGGCATATCAGGCATTTGAGGTTTATCTGCTATCCAGAGGTCAGGAGACGGGGTCAGAGGTCTGGGACTTCAAAGGGAAGGAAGATGGTTCACAGGAAGTTGAAAGAGTAAATGTTTGGTAAACAAATGTTTGCCAGTTGCACAGAAACAATGGGACCTAGAGAGGAATTTTAACACAAACAGACTTTGCTAAATTCTTCCCTGTCTAAAACACCTAGTTCATATTATACTTTAGTTGACTATGGTCAGACACCTTCCTGCCCAGAGCAGGTCCTACACCTATGTTCTTCTTCACAGTTACAGGGACCTAAAATGTTCAGATAAAAATAAAAAATAAAAATAAAAAAAATAAAATAAATAAAAATAAAAAATAATAAAAATTTTTAAAAAATCACCTAAAGTAATCCACATGCTAAAGGGACACCTTTTGGGGTTCTTTCCTACATGGTAGTGAGGCTGTGGCACAGGAGTGTTTTAATTCAAAGGGACTCATTTGGTGAGTGGGAGGGATGGGGTTTTGGAATGTAGGTGAGGTTCAGCAGAGTGCGGGTGGGGAACCCAGGGCCAAGAAAGAATTCTTGAGACGTCTTTGGAGCAAAATGGTGGTTTTATGAAAGCCCGGGGACAGGACCCGTGGGCAGAGAGAGGTGCTGTCCTGGGGTTGTGAGGGGCGGCTGATATACTATGAGGTTGGTGAGCTCACACTATACCAAGGAAAAGGAGGGTTTTAAAAGGATTTTCCTATGCTAAAAAAGACTCACAGGATACCCGGAGGCCTTGCCATTGTCAATAAGGTTGTTTTTCCCTCTAGCCAGGCAGTAACAGGAAGAAGCTTGGGGAGGTTCCTGGCGGAACATTACACTCTGCCCCGCCCGCTTCAAGTGTCTGCCAATGGGGTACAGGTTATGTGGACGTTTAATTGCACCTACATTTCCTTCTGGAAACTAGGTTATTGGTAGAAGTGCTTTGTTCTTATAAATCGCTAAGACATAATGTAAAGTGAGGGAGACTCTTGTCTAGCAGAATTGTGATCTCTATAGGTCAACTATTGGTTTTTCCTTTCCTTATCTTCAGGGCAGCCAGGAGTCTGAGTAATGTCACATATATCCCATCTGGGGGAGGGGGTTGTAGGGTGTCGCCTTCTACTTTGTCCTCAGCTAGCCTTCTCCTCCCTCATCAGGTGGTGGGGGGCGATCTCTGGGCCTGACAGAGTGAAGGGTAGGTCATCAACATTTCTCAGTGTAAACCCGAGAGAAGTCTTAAATGAGAAAGGCCGAGGGAGGCGGGACTGGGCTAGAAGACGCCACGTCCCCTAGCAGGCTTAGGCTTTCAGTTTCCTTTTCCCCATCCTGCCGGGGATTTTTCAGGCGTCACTGTCAGCGAAGCTTAAGAAGAGCCCCGCGGTGAGCACGACCGGTATGTGCCCAGACTTGCCCCCTTGGCTCCCTTCCCAACCCTCCCCCGATCCTAGAACCTCTGCTGAGGGGCCCTGGCGTCGCCTCTCCCGCCCCTCCCAGCTTCTCCTGCAAAAACTCTTCCCGGAACTGGCCTGGGGCAGGCCGTGCCAGGGCAGGGGTTGGGGAGAAGTGGGCTTTCCAGGAGATGATGACTCAGTCCCTAGGGTCCTCATTTGCTGTTTGTGGGGCAGGGACAGGTGCCGGCGGAGGGAGGAACAGCCCCGGGACAAACCTCCAGACAAACAGGCTCCCCCCACCCCAGATTTCAGGTGGGCCCCAGGAGGCAGCAGGAAGCCCGGATGCTGTCCAGGGCGCCCCCGCTCACCGGGTTCTTGCCCCACACCGCAGCTCCCGAGGACGTGTAAACGTTGCTTAAAATAACCCTGAGAGTTCCTGGGGCGCCCTCACTTCTGGGGCAAACTGTTCAAAGGTTCGGCAGCCGCCTTTCGGAAAGCTGATGAGAAGGAAGACTGTTGCTGCTCCACGGTGGCAGCTGGCCTGGCCTGCAATTTTTACTCTACTGCGGTAGCCGGGCGAAATAGTGCAGGGTTGTTTTGCACAGCAGTGTAAGATGTATTTCAGCAAACTGCAGGGCAACTTCTTTGCTAAAGTTTGGCATGACTGGTAAGAGTTTTGTAAAGCCTTAACATAGACTCGTTCCCGGCTCCCAGCCTTTTCCCTTCTTCAGAACAAACAAACAAAAAACCTCAAAACAAAAAAACGTTAAGTTGATTTCAAGATGTTCCTGCTTGATGGTGTCCGGATTTGGACAGGACATGTTCTTTTTAAACATTAACAGGGGAATGCAATAGAACAAAGGCCAGGGAGGTCTGTTTTTGTTCTAGAGAACAGGAAATGAGCAGGGCGTGGGTTAGTACGGGCTCTAAAGCCCTCTCCAATTATTTTCATTTGTTGACATTTGAAATTTATTTACTCTATGAGACTTCAGTCCCAGCAGGGAGAGCGCTGTGTCGCGCGTTTTGGACACGGACAAACCTGGATAATCTAAAACTAAGACTGGGCTCTGGTGGGCTTGACCTACTTTAGGTAAGATATTTCAGAGAAGAGGGACAGGATTTTTGGTATTTTCCCTCTACTGGTTCCCCTAAATAATTTTACAAAAAAGTTTCATTGGGGGCGCCTGGGTGGCTCAGTCCTTAAGCGTCTGCCTTTGGCTGAGGTCATGATCCCAGAGTCCTGGGAGAGTCTTGGGATCAAGCCCCCTATTCGGCTCCCTGCTCAGTGGAGAGCCTTTTCTCCCTCTCCCACTCCCCCTGCTTGTGTTCCCTCTCTCGCTGTGTCTCTGTGTCAAATAAATAAAATCTTAAAAAAAAAAAAAAGTTGCATTGGGAGAAAATTTGGCTTAACTCCAAAATTACAAAGGAAAAAAAGAAAAGAAAAGCCTCAGGACTGGAGGGGAATTTGAAGGTTTGCGGTGGAGGAGTTTTCAGGGTAACACCTGTCTTTCTTACAGCTTCTAGGACGGACGTCCTGATTAAAATGGCTTTTTCTAACGACTAAACGTTTTCTATTTTCTATTTTTAACTGACATTTGCACTTCTCTTTAACACTGTATTACTTACTAGCTGGCACCCGCTTTCGAAGGTGAGTCTGCAGCGGTGGGGGGCCCCTTGCGGTCCCGGAGTTGCGCAGGACCGCAGTGGGTCTCTGGCGGGAGCGTCGTCCCCGCTGTCCGCCGCGCGGGGGGGCCCTGCTGGAAACCCCGGCGGAAATAGATTTCGTCTCTGCAGCGCGCTGGAGTCGCGGCTTTGCCCGCAGCGTGGAGGTGGGGACCATTCGCAGCGCCCACTCATTCTCCTCCCGCAGCACGTAATTCCCCTGAGCTCCACGTGGTCCTTTGCTTACCCCAGGGGGAGTTTCGGGACTGTAGTGGGTGTACTCTTGCGGAGTTTTTTTTAGGTGCGGGGGCGGAGGGTTCTTAAGTCTTAAGTCTCTGGTGGGCTGCCTGGAGGAGGCTTCCTGGGCTTAGCAGGAGGAGGATCCCGGAAGCCACCTGGAGCGTCCACCTGTTGATGGGTGCGACGCTGCCCTCCCGTTTCTGAAATACTCGCAACGCCGGTTTCCCGGAGCTGCAGGTCCCTCGCGGTGGGTCTCGCTCCCGCCTGCGACCCAGCGGGAAGAGCCGGGGCTGCCCGGGCGTGAGTAGACTGTGAATCCTGTCCGTCTCTCTTGTCTCCACCTGCGCCCGGTGCTGCAGTCACCTGGGCTCCCGGGGTGTAAGGGCACTGGTCCTGATCCCCCCCCCTCCCCTCGCCGCCAGAAATGGATTGAGCCACTTTTAACCCTTCTGGCCCCCTTGGGGAACTTGCCTACGGCAGTCCGGAGTCACCAGGGGTGTCACTTGTTCAATCTCAGGAATGGACTCCCGTTTGATTATTTTCTTCCTTGTAGGGCCGCCAAGGCTAATTAAAATCGTGCTTATGGACGGGACTGCCTCCTTTCCTTTGATTCAGTGTAATCCTGCCAACATTTATTGAGCTCCTATGGGCCAGGCCGAGTTCTGGGTGCTGGGGACATAGAGATGCATCTGAACTTGATTCCTTCCCCCAGAAGCCCGCAGAGTGGTTGGGGTAGATGAGCAAAGTACTTCCGCGGGTAACTTAGATTCAAGGCAGCCTAGACAGGGGCCAGTGACGGCCAAGAATGAGAGGAAGACCACGTTGGAGAAGTAATGACAGGTAACAAGCAGCGTGCACTCACGCTCATTTTTGCTTTCCTTACTATATACATCAGTAAGGTTAAGAAACTATCATTAGGGTAATGCCCTATTTCTCCTTTATGTTCAGCTCCTGACACTCTAGGAAGACTTCATAACCCACCACCATATGTTCCCTTCCTCTCTACTTTCATACACTTGGTGGGTGTCTTTACACTTACCATAAATAACACTCGGTATTGTATTGCTTTTCTTCAAAAACTTTTCAGTTAAGTTGTAATATAATTATCTGTGTTAAAATATATGCCAAGTAAATAGAGAAAGCCCTTAGGAGTCCCCTATTCCCTAAGATAATGGAAGGTTGAAGTTTAATGTTTTTTTTTTTTTCCCAGACATGTTATGCACACAAATACAGACTTTGAAATGTTTATATATATATATATATATATATATTCCTATTTTGTATGATGTTGTTTCTTCAATTGCATCTCAGCAATGTTTATTTTTTCCTATTAACATCTCTTGTTTTCTTAGCTGGAATTTCGCTCCCCTCTGGTGTCAGTGTTACTAATGAAAGATTTTTTTTTCCTAATGACCAGTTTTCTTGTTTTTGAGAATGTGTGTATCCACAATTTACACTTAATTCATTTGCTTGTTTATATATTTCCAATGTTTTTTCTCCCTCAGTTCTCCTTTGACCCCATGTACATATGAATATATGTGTGTGTGTGTGTGTATATATATATATATATATATATATATATGTATAATTTTCTTTCCAGATAAAACTGCTTCTTCTCTGATGGTCTCTGCTTTTAGCCACTTTGTCCTTATTTGGCCATTTAAGTTTTTGTGCAAAAAAGATCAACGGCTTCTTCATTGTTTTCCTCTTATTCTGTACATTGGGTTGGGTGTCATCTTTGGTAATTCAGTGCTTATGAAAGAATGAATGTTCACCCATGGGATACCACTTTCATCTGTATATTCAAGATGGTTTGTGTCTTCTCCAGTTGGAGAAATTAACCCATTTTATTTACGTTAATATCTATATACTTAATTTTTCAGAATAATTTAAAAAATTCCCTTGCAGCTACTTGCCCCAAGGTTTAAAATGTTCCTCAGGCTACTGTCTTCAGTCTGTCATCTGATTTTACAAGTGGGAACCAAAGCTTCCTCACCTACTTGATAAATTCTTGAGCTTTCTTTTCTTTTCTTTTTAAAAAATCTTTTGGATCTTCCCTTTAGCTTACTATATCTCTTTTGTTTGTTTTTGGTTTTAGATTTTACTTGAAGCTTTCAAAAAGTATAGTTTTTAAAATCAGTGATATTTGGGGCGCCTGGGTGGCTCCGTGGGTTGATCCTCTGCCTTCGGCTCGGGTCATGATCCCAGGGTCCTGGGATCGAGCCCCGCATCGGGCTCTCTGCTCAGCGGGGAGCCTGCTTCCTCCCCTCTCTCTCTGCCTGCCTCTCTGCCTCCTTGTGATCTCTGTCTGTCAAAAAAATAAGTAAAATCTTTAAAAAAAAAAAATAAAAAATAAAATCAGTGATATTTGTTTTAAAGAGTAGACACATGACAAATCTGGTTTGGATACTATCTGGCAAATGAACCAAATTCCTTGCAAGAATGACCAAAGCTTGATTCAGAGTTAAGTAAAATAAATCAGTAATAAGTAAATCCCTTCATTCGCATGTACTGAGCATCCGCGTTTACGGAGTCTATCTTTTTCAGCTGGATTGTCAACAGGAATGTTAAGGAGCCTAGAAAGAGGGAGTGGGAAGGAGATCAGAACAGTTAAATAGGTACCAGAGATAGTGATGGGGCTGAGGCAAATGGGGAATTTTTATTTTCTTCTTTACTTTTCTCCATTCTCCAGATTTTCCTATAGCATGCAAGGAGTGCTTTAATAATTAGAAAAAAGAATGCTATATAGGAAGAATGGCAAGGGCTTTATATCTCCAATATTATGCATAACTCATGATTTTTTTTTAGAAGATTTTATTTATTTATTTGACACAGAAAGAGAGATCACAAGTAGGCAGAGAGACAGACAGAGAGGGGAAAGCAGGCTCCCCACTGAGCAGAGAGCCCGATGCGGGGCTCGATCCCAGGACCCTGAGACCACCACCTGAGCTGAAGGCAGAAGCTCAACGCACTGAGCCACCCAGGCACCCCCAACTCACGATTTTGAACAAGACTTTCTCCTAACGGGTCAACCTTGGAGGAGCCATTGTATGAACTGAGCAAATAGACTTGCTAGGTTGACTTTTTAGTTCAAGCTCGTCTTGTACACATGGGCTTCAGTGCAGAGAAATGTCTGCTAAATATTTTATTTTAGTGTGGCATAATGGATACCTTGGACAGATAGGGTTGTTTCTTGAGACCGTTAGGATTCTTTTGATGAAAACCTTGAGGAGAAGGATTGTGTATTTTCCTATTGTGGTTGCCTGGTGATAAAGATGATGTCACTACAAAGAACTGAGGCTAAGTCACAGCCCTCCTTTGCTCTACTTGGAACTAAGATCTGGTGTTTGAACTCTGGCTTTGCTGCAGCATTAAAACTCAGCTTTTCCGGTTGCTTTTTGTTGTTGAGGAAATTGAAACCTCAGATAAAGTGATAAATTCAATAAATGTTTCACACTGTCCTATGCCCATTTCTCAGTCACATGAGTGAATATGTTGCTAGCTCATAGACAATTAGTTGTGTCTTAAATTTACACCGTCTCATACAAGGTGTCAGTAATTTTGATGATGTCCTGTTGGATGCAATAATTCTTTAAATTTAGGCAATTTTGAGGCCATCCTGAGAGAATTATACCACATGCAGAGGACTGGCCTAGAGGTTTGGCAAAAATGAAAATCCTGATGCGTAAATGTTAGAGTTTTATAAATTTTGAGCCAAAGGTACAGTGAGATAGACCTTATGTTAAATGGCCAGGGGAGGGGCGCCTGGGTGGCTCAGTGGGTTAAAGCCTCTGCCTTCAGCTCAGGTCATGATCTCAGGGTCCTGGGATTGAGCCCTGCATCGGGCTCTCTGCTCAGCAGGGAGCCTGCTTCCTCCTCTCTCTCTGCCTGCCTCTCTGCTACTTGTGATCTCTGTCAAATAAATAAATAAAATCTTTTAAAAATAAATAAATAAATAAATAAAAGGCCAGGGGATGTCTGCTGAGTTTGGCTCGAGATGTTGTATTTTGCTTTTTCAAGATGCGGTCCCGCCAGCTCTTAGGAAGCCCTTCGTGGAGGGGCACCAGGCCTCTTACAATTCTAGTGTAAGCCAGTTTTAAACAATAGCGTTGTTATCCTTTATGTTTGCAAAACCTTGCTTTCACAATCTGTTTCCTGGACCTAACAACCAGGTTCCTGGTATGATATGTACGCCAGCTCCTTCTTGCTTCATCATAGCTTACGAAAGGATGAGTAGGCATCACACATGTGTGGGCCTGCTGGAGTTGTGTAATGAAGGCCAGGCTGTTCTTGGGACGGTGGGCTTGGCAGGCCTGACCAGGGCTCACCACAGCCTAATGAAGGTGGGTGAGAACCTACCTGTTTCCAAGGACCTTACTCCCTGTGATAGATACCCAGCTAGAGTAAGATAAATGTCAGAAGAAAGTACAAACAGTGCTGGGAAGCAGCGGGAGATGACCCTGACTTAGGGATCAAGATAAGCCTAAGGAAGAGAAGCCTCAGAAGATGTGATAGAATTTTGATGGGCAGAGACTGGGAAGAGGGAAGGAGCTTTTCAAAGGGAGGCAAATACTTGAGCAAAGAGATTGGGACAGAAAAGCCCTGTCCAGAGAACATTGAGATATCTATCTGTCATGAGTTAAATCACGAGTTGGGGAGAACTCTCAGGTCTTCTTGGGGAGATACTCCTAGGTACTTGGCTAGGTAGGAGAAGTTTGCCCTCGTGGAAATTTAACTTTGGTTAAGGTGGAATGGACCATGGGGCACCTGGCTGGCTCAGTCGATTAAGCTCAGTCCTGGCTCAGGTCACGATCCCAGGGTCATGGGATCAAGCCTTGTGTCGGGCTCCCTGCTTAACGGGGAGTCTGCTTCTTTCTCTCTCTACCTCTTCTGCTGGTGTTCTCTCTCTCTCTCTCTCTCTCTCTCTCTCAAATAAATAAATAAAGGCTTAAAAAAAAAGATTGGGTGCCTAGGTGGCTCGGTTGGTTAAGCCTCTGTCTTCTGATTGGGTCGTGATCCCAGGATCCTAGGATCGAGTCCCGCTTTGGGCTCCCTGCTCCTCGGGGGACCTGCTTCTCCCTCTGCCTCTCTCTCTGTGTCTCTCATGAATAAATAAAATAAAATAAAAAAGATGGAGTGGGCCATTGCATTGAATGGGTTTACTTTTATTGACCTTGGTGATTCTGCTTATATTTTTGTATCTAATTAAATGATTCATACTCTCCTCTCCATCTAGATTCTTTCTTGTTCTGTGGTTCTTTCATTCCCTCATTTTCTGCCATCTCTATGCAACTGTTATGAACCAGGGAGGTGATGGGAGGTGATGTTATGTTGGCATTTGTGGGAGCTTCCCTGAGAGTCATGGGACTGAGCCCCATTAAAGAACTTCATGAAAATATCTTCAAATCTGATGTCATTTTATAATTGAGATTATCTGTTGTTTGTGGGCAATTTGCTACAATTGAAATGCATGCCTTGTGAAGCCAAATAATGTTTGAATGTCTATTTTTAGCTCCCAGTGCATAATAATGGTCAGTAACACCTCCAATCGGAAAGTGTTTATGGCTCAGCCTTGGTACACGGTCATCTAGACTATGTTTGAGTAGGTTTCTGCAGCATTCCAGAAATCAGGAGCCACAGGATGATCTATTATTTATAGACCGATTATTTATAAACCTCACGTTAAATATCTGTGTGTGTGTTGGGGGGTGTCATGCCAAATGGCACTTCATGTACCCTTTTAGGTTTAAAATGCCTCACTCAGGTGGAAGAGGAAGGATGGGTTCATTCTATTAGCTGCTTGAATCGTTAACACGCACAGCCCACCTCCACCGATTCTG